ACCCGTCTCCCCGGCCCAGTCCTCCATGAGTGGTTATTCTTCACCACAAGAGGAGGATCAACCTGGGATCTCTATGTCAGAGGATGAGGAACTTCCCCCTGAGCCTCCCTCAGGGGGATTATTTAATCCCAACCGCTTCCTCACGATACTACGCAAGGCCACAGCCATTGCGGACATGGGGACGGATCAGTTTTCTCAGCCGCAAGCGACACCGGCCACCACATCCAGACCCGTATTCGTAGAAAAGGTGACAACGCAACACCATATACCTTGCCCCGCCATTTTCCTGAAAGGGATCAAGAAGCCATGGGACTCTCCCGCTTCCTTCCCATCAGTGAGTGGTACGGACAAAAAATTATACAGCACTGCCACAGACCTCAATGAGGCCTTAGAAATTCCTAAAGTAGATGAAGCCTGGACCCCCTTGGTCTCCCAGACAGCCATGGCTGGGGACCTAGTGGAGGCCCTTAAGGCAGATGACAAAAAGTGGGAACAAGCCTTTCGCAAAACCCACCAGACAGCGGCATGGGCCATCAAAGCAGCCACCTCGGCCTCCTTTTTTGTCCGGGCCACCCTCATCTGGTTGCAACAACTACAAACCATAGTTCCTATGGAGGACATACGAACACACCAGGACCTGGCTAAGATGGTAGCAGCCACGGAATACGCTGCAGACGCAACGTTCCAATCGGCCATTTTTTCATCCAGATCCATAGCATCCAACATAATTGCCAGGAGAATGCTATGGCTAAAACACTGGCAAGCTGACACCAAGGCTAAGTGGCGGCTAGCGACCGCCCCTTACTCAAGCAACGGTCTGTTTGGGGAGGCCTTGGACCCCTATCTTGTAGAGAACAAAGACAAGCGGAAGGTCATGGCACACTTGAACAAAAGGTCAGACAAACGTACCACACCTTACTTTCGTAGGCAGTCCTTTCGCCAACCGACAACCACGCCTATCAGTCAGGCACCCAAGCCATTCACTCCCAGGCAGAACAAACCGTACGGCCGCCCCTACGACAGACCGGGGTTCCAGCCCAGACAACAAAACCAGTCGAGACGACCCTTTCGTGGAACGGGTCGTCCGTACCGGAAGACAAAATGACTCCTACATAGACCTACCCATTGGAGGAAGACTAGCTCACTTCTTCCACCAGTGGGAGCAGACCTCCACGGACAACTGGGTACTACAAACCATCCAGTCCGGGCTGTCCCTGGAGTTCCTGGTCACACCCCCAGACCGACTCATCAACTGCTCGGTCTCCAGGAACCCCACCAAACGCAAACTCATGCAGGAGGCCATCCAACACCTGTTGGACATTCAAGCAATAGAACCGGTCCCAGCGGAATACAGAGGCAGAGGATTTTACTCCATCCTCTTCGTGGTTCCAAAGACTTCAGGAGGATGGAGGGCAATCCTGGACCTAAAAAATCTCAACCGCTACATCACATACAAAAAATTCAAGATGCAATCCCTTCAGTCCATCCTGGGAAGCATCAGAGAAGGAGACTTCCTGGCATCGATAGACCTCACGGAAGCCTACCTTCACATCCCCATCCACCCAAACCACCGCCGGTTCCTACGTTTCTGTTACGGGGGAAAACACTTCCAATACAGAGCTCTCCCCTTCGGTCTATCTTCGGCACCCAGGGTATTTACCAAGATACTAGCAGCGGTAGCCGCCAAACTGAGAAAAATCCCAATACGCGTCCAATGTTACCTAGACGACATACTAATCCAAGCAACATCCCTACAGACAGCTCAGGCGGACGTAAGGACCGTCATTCGCGTCCTCCAATTACACGGATTCTCAGTAAACTTTCAGAAGAGCCAGACAGTTCCCTCGTCCAGGCTGCTGCATCTGGGGGCCATGATAGACACAACCAACTGTATGGTCTATCTCTCCCAAGACCGGGTGGCCGGCATCAGGGAACTGGCTCGCTGGGTTCACAGGCAACGTTCAGTTCCGATACTAACACTTTCCCAATTATTGGGCAAGATGGTATCGGCCATAGCCATTGTACCCTGGGCCAGGCTCCACCTACGGGAAATACAGTGGTTTCTGCTCCCGTACCAACGGCAGAACACCAGCGCATCCAACCACCTAGTCAGGGTCACGGCACAAATCCGCAGGGCGCTACGTTGGTGGTGCTCTCGGGCCGTGACCAAGGGGTCACCTTTCAAGGAACCAGTCAGAGTTACCATCACTACAGACGCCAGTCTGTATGGTTGGGGAGCCCATCTGGACTCCCAGTTTGTACAGGGACGTTGGTCCGCCACGGATCTGAGAAACAACATCAACTGGCTAGAACTCAGGGCTATCCACCTAGCCTTGCAACAATTCAAAGACAGAATCAGAGGCCACCACGTTCTAGTCCTAACAGACAACGTAGCAGCCAAGGCGCACATCAATCGGCAGGGGGGGACCAGATCAAAAACCCTGATGACAGAGTCACGACTCCTATTCAGCTGGGTAGAGCCCAATCTGAAGTCACTAAAAGCGGAACACATATCGGGGGTCAACAACCAGCAAGCGGACTTCCTAAGCCGCACCACAGTGGACCCTTCGGAGTGGGGGCTACACCCGAACTTGTTCCTAGACATCTCCCGCAAGTTCGGGTACCCGATCCTCGATCTGTTCGCATCATCAGACAATGCCCAGCTCCCCAGATTTTACTCTCGTTACTTCAACCCGCGAGCAGAGGGGACGGACGCTCTGAGAACTCAGTGGCCTCAGGGTCTGCTTTATGCCTTTCCCCCACTACCACTCATACCGGCGGTCATCCGAAAGCTGATTCAGGAGCGGGCAGAAGTGATCCTAGTAGCACCATATTGGCCACAGAGACCGTGGTTCGCCGACCTGATGAACCTGTCTCAGTCGCCCCCATGGAACATTCCCCCTCATCAAGTGTCCCTACACCAGGGAACCATCAGTCACCCGGAACCCCAATGGTTACAACTGACCGCCTGGCACTTGAGCGCCAGATAATGGCACAGGAACTATTCTCTCCCGGGGCCATTACCATAATTCAAGCTTCACGCCGTCCGGCAACAAACCGCATTTATGACTCCACTTGGAAAAATTTTTGCCTTTGGTGCAGGGAACGGCAGTTTGACTTACACAAACTCTACATCCCTCAGATAGTAGATTACCTCTTGGAGGGACTAGACAGAGGCCTCGCCCCCGCGACCATCCGCAGGCAAGTGGCGGCCTTGTCCACCCTCCTCACCTGCACGGATTCGGTTCCCTTAGCTCACCACCCCAGGATCCGCGCCTTTATCAAGGGCGCCTATAACACCAGACCTCCAGTAATTCACAGGTACCCGTCCTGGGAACTACCGCGAGTCCTTCACGCACTCACTCGGTCACCATTTGAACCATTGGTGACCGTTTCCTTGCGACACCTGTCGCTAAAGGTGGCGTTCCTGATTGCCATCACATCGGCCAGACGAATTTCGGAACTGGCCGCACTGTCAGTCAGAAATGACCTATGCATTTTCCACAAGGACAGGGTGGTCCTTAGGTTAGATCCTGCCTTCATACCGAAGGTGAATTCACTCTTTCACAGGACACAGGAAGTAATTCTCCCAAACTTCTGTCCAAATCCAACACATGACCGGGAGCGGCAGTGGCATACATTGGACGTCTGCAGAGCCTTGTGGCGTTATATAAAGCGTACAGAACCCTTCCGCAAATCGGAGGCCCTATTTGTATCCTTCCAAGCGGGCACCTTGGGGCGGAAAGTTTCCACGGGCACCATTGGAAGGTGGATCCGAAGCTGTATCGCAGAAGCTTACAATGTATCATCCCTGCCGCTCCCAAGTCATATCACAGCCCATTCCACCCGAAGCGCTGCAACTTCGGCGGCATGGGCTACCCAGGCGTCAATCGAGGAAGTTTGCAGGGCCGCGACATGGTCCTCGCCTTCCCCGTTTATACGACACTACAAGATAGACCGCTTTGCATCGGCGGACGCCTCCTTTGGTAGGAGGGTCCTCCAGCAAGTTGTCTCAGAGATCAATCTACCGGCCTTATCTGTTTCCCACCCCTTGGGACAGTGAGGCTTTGGTACCCATCCGTGGATTATCCATCTCCTGTACTGGAGAAGGGGCGTTGGTCTTACCTGAACGCCTTTTCTCAGTACGGAGATGGATAATCCACACCCACCCCAAGGCCAGCAGGCCGCTAGTAGGGAGCTGAGAGCCAATACCTCGTCAATCATCAGCCAATTCGCCCTCGTTAAGAATGGACTCCACAGGAAGTGGGGGCGTGTCAAGCTTTGGCTACTTGGTCTCAAGAGCAGGCAGACAGAGAAAACCATCCGTGGATTATCCATCTCCGTACTGAGAAAAGGCGTTCAGGTAAGACCAACGCCCCATCTCAGGGCTGCAGTCACCACTTTGGCCAGTTTTAGAACCTAGGAAGATGAATTCCTTTACTGTTTTGATTGTTTCATTGTCGATCTGCACTTTGACCTGTGTATTCTCTAGAGTTGTCATTATCTTTGTTTTCTTGATGTTAACGTGCAGTCTAAATTTTTCACTTTCATCTTTGACTCTCAGGATTAGCCACTCCAGATCTCCTTGCTTTCCGCGAACAATGTTGTATCATCTGCATATTGGAGGTTGTGATATTCCTACCACCTATTTTAACTTGAATGGTATATTTTATTTAATTTTTATTTATTGGATTTATATTCTACTCATCCTTCAGGAGCTTAGGGCAGTGTACAAAGCATTTCCTCCTTCTTTCGGTGGCTGAAAGCGGACTAGAACCTGGATATCCCTATTGCCAGTCCAGCACTGTGTTCACTGCATTATATTGCCCTTGAATTTTTGTAATTGTTTTTAATGTAGTGCTTTTAATTTTTAAATTTGTTTTCATTTTGTATTTTTTTGTTAGAAAATTGGATAATTTTTCCAAATAGGCAGGAGGGAAAGGTAAAATAAATGTGTACATATCTGTTATTTTGCCTATTAACAATATACTTCTTTGCAGAATTCTAATGTGTGGAGACAACATTTCTTTGAAACCAAAAAAAAGAGGGTTCAGCAAAATTTATGAGGTGTCAGGTATGAAAGATATATTCAGTGCTATCATATTTAATTTTATATCATTAACAGGAAAGGCTTAATTAATAGATAAGTAGCTGTTAATTTTTAGTATAGTAAGAAAAGAAAAAAAATAAGTTTCCTGTCTCTCAGGGCTGAACATATAAACCTAGGCACTGCTGTAACTTTGTGTATTACACAGATATTGAATTTGCCAAAATAGAATAGCCCCAGGCTTCTTGTACATGTTAAGGACTTGTTTGGTGCCATTTATGAATTATTCTGCATAAAACTAAGTATTTTAAAAGCTGATTTTAAAAAGTACAGATTTTATTGCATAAATTGAAACTGTAATTTCATGAATAAATTAGAGTGAACCAATTAATATGAACAGGATTGATGACTGCAAGGCTAAGAAATCCTCATATGGTCTTAGTTATAGACTTTTTACTCATTCATTACTCAAAATAGAGATCTATACTTTTCTGGATTTGTTGCAGCATTTGTGGCACTTTAAAAATTGGCATAAGGTCTGGCTGATTATATCTAATTCATCAAATTAAACTGATACATAAAATTCCTTTTAACATTGTTTCAGCTAAAAATCTGAGTCCTGTACGGAAAATCTTTAAGAGAGCTTCAAGCACTGCACTTAGGATTCATAAAGTATCCCAGTATTCTTTCCCATAATAAATATGCCATTGTGCAATATGCATATGATTGCATTTGCTATAGTGGAATATGCTGCAATGCCATGTAATAAAAATCCTTACCATACACATATATTCTAGGAAGTACGCTCTACTGAATACAGTCATATTTATGTCCTAATATATAAACTTGTTCTAGTTTTCCTGATTATTGTTATGCATAGATTAGAAATCTGTTTTGCTCTTTTACAGCTTCCCTCCACTTGGGATATTCCTTATGCTGATATGGTAATTTCAGAGTGGCTGTCATCATAGGTGAACAAAGGTAATAATTCCTTATTAAAGAATATAATTTACAGTTTTTAAATGTCAGTTTTGAGCTTAAGTGTATTTGCATACTGCAGACCAGATTTTGAGTAGTCAAAGCAATACATGCAGAGATTTACCTTGTAAAAGCCTTAAATACTGGATATATATTTAAAGTTTAATTGTGAAATACATTATAGTCAGTGGATGTGTATTTTTTTTTCCGTCTCAAAGCAGTGAATATCTGGAATACAAGTTTAACTCTGAGTTTTTGCTAATATATTAAAATCACTACTGACTTTTGGTGCTTCATCTCTATTCTTGTACTTATTTCTATAGCAGAGGTCACCAACTGTTTCATGCTGGTGGCCTGGAGGGAAAGGGAGCGGCTGGGAAATTTGCACGTGTGCACAGGGCCGCATACACCAGCACAGTGCTAGTGGTCCTGTTTGTGCATGCAGGCCGCCGCTGCTAGCCCCGCGCGCATGCACAAACTAGCCATGCAATCTGCACAGTGCTAACGACCCCTTTTGTGCATGCATGCAGGTGCTAGCCACCTCCTCTGCAAACGGGTCACATAACCCACCCATGCTAACAGCCCCATTTGCACATGTGCACAGGTGCTAGCCACCGCCGCTGCTACCTCCGCACTTGCACAAATGGGCTGTGCAACCCACATGTGCTAGCGGCCCTGTTTGCGCATGCACTAGCCACTGCCGCTGCTAGCCCTGCACGCATGTGCAAACTGGCCATGCAACCTTACGTGCTAGCAGTACTGTTTGTGCAGGCCCTAGCCATTGCCGCGGCTAGCCCCACATGCAGGCACAGACAGGTCCGCAGATGCGAGCATGAGTGGGGGTGAGTGTGTGCACACATGTTTGCGCATTGGTCAGCCTGGCCCAGTGGCCAGTAGGCCATGGCCCAGTAGTGGGCCGTGGACCATAGGTTGGGGACCCCTGCTATAGGACTTCATGTTTAAAAATATGAATAATTAAAGAGTCAGATGAGGTTTGTTAAGGGTCCTGAGCTTAATAATATTTTGTACAAGACTAAATCAGTCTATAAATTATTCTAGACTATAATTTCATAAATATTGTATGATAAATACTATGCTGCAAGAAAACATTAAAATTACATTTCAAGGATTGTTATAGGTTGTCCAGGGCTTTTTTTCTCATAGAACGCCCAGAACGGAGTTCCGACACCTTTTTGGATGGATCCTTGTAGGGTAGGCAAGGCGGGTTGTATGACGTGTGTGAGTTCCGGCACCTTTTTTTTTTTTTTTTTTTAGAAAAAAAGCACTGGGTTGTTCTTGGAAGACCTAAGTGACTGGTACACAAAATCTGCACCATTAGGTTGGCTGAGGTTATAATTTCTTCACAGAAAAATAAATATATATACTTTCTTGTCTTTATGAAATGAGTTATGGTATATTATTTTACTCCTGTTGTGTTTTTTTAAAAAGAACAGCATAGAATGTTGTAATGGTTTACCTATAATGTTAGATGAATTGATCAGTTAATAAAATATGGCTAGTAGCACATGCCTACATGGCTCAACTTAAAAATAAAAATATTAAAATCTGGGTAAAAGAAGACGGTAAGGTGTCTCCTAGAACTTTGTGTAGTCTTGTCTTAGTTATGCTGACCTGCTAAGAGCATTAAGTGCCAGTCAGTATAATTCTGTGGCATATGAAAGTTTGTTAGCTTGAAGCAGTATATGCAAAAAATAAATAGGTATAAAAAATTAATATATGTTTTTATATATGAATTTCTGCTGAACAGTTACATGATATGTAGCTTGTTGACAGAGATTAAGTTATACTATCTATATCTTTTTGTTATTATTTGAATTATTACTTTTATATAAGAAATCTCATTTAAGTTAGAATTTTGAAAAGCAAGTTATCTGGGCATCTATTTTTTTCTTTGCTAATTATAAAGGAAATCTATGATTGTTTGCAACTAAATCACCATTTAATTGGAACTATCAATGGATTTGGCTACGTATTTGAATAGATCACATAAATATATTACTTTTGATTGAACATTGTCAGGATTGGATCAGATAATCTTCCAATATTATATGTTTGCATGTATGTGTTCTGAATAATTATATATAAAAAGCTTTAATAATTATATTGTGAAATTTGAGAGACTGCTAAAATCTTCTCTCTCCTTGCATAAAGAAACAGGTTACCTTTAAAAAAATACAAAATATTTGAAATCAATTTCTGCAGTTTTAGAATTAAAATATGCTTTTTATAGAGCTAGAGTGTGCGAAACAAGTAATATAATTGTCCTGTTGCACAATTAATATTTGTAGTGTTTTAAAGGATTGGTTCCATTAAGCTTTTGTTTTTATATTTGTAGAAAAATAAATCAGTCTTCTCTATGTATTAATGAGAAGAAATCAAACACTAGTGTCCTAGTCCTATTAATAACTTCAGAAATTAGGAAGCATCCAAATTTCTATAATACTTTTTTGGTATATTATATTTAATTTAAACTTATAATGTTTTGCTTCTAAAATAATTTTCTGGCGTTCTATTAATGTCAGTGTAATATTAGCAGTAGTGACATATAATATGGTAAGAAACATGAAAGACGATGCAAGGAATGTTGTTCCTCTAATAGACTTCAGATTTATGGAATACTGAAAACCAATACAACATTCTATACTTTGCAAGAACATTTTTCCTACTGTGTAAAGGCAAAACATGCTTGAACTACTTGAAATTACCTCTGCAATTTTATTTTAAAACAATTATTGCCAATATCTATTTCTCTAAGCTATTTGAGGAAAGTCATTGGATAAACAAATTTATAGGGGAATGTATCATATCTTGCAACAATTGTCTGAATGGCCACTATGAGGGTAGAAGTTAATACTGTCCTTTCAACATTTTATTTTACTATTAATCTCACTATTGTCCTGCCCATAAAAAATAAAAAACAAAAACAAATTGGATGTGTATTTAAACTCCTATATCAGGGTTAATGGACCACATATCTATACAGCATATTCCCCAAATAGTATGTTAATTTTAAGACTACAAGATTATTTTTTCTTCTTCTGATGCAACGGATTAACGTTGTAATTTTTCCTGGTATTTACAAGTATTTTCTAAAGGAGCCTTTATGTAGGATGTGTGTATGTTGAGAGCAACATTTTTCAGAGTTTAAGAAACGGGAAACTTCTTCCCCACTGTTTTAATGTCAGTTGTTATATTCAGAAAACAGGAAAGAACACATCACTCAGTTCTTTTGTTGCTATCCTAATTCTAACCCTGATTTTTACTTTTATCTTTAAAATATTTTTCAAACTCTTACTTAAAAAATTCTGCATGCTTTTTTTCTTGTAAGAAAAATTCTCAGTCATAGACTAATAGAGCTGGAAAGTATCATTTAGACATTGAATCCAACCCTCTGTTCAGTGCAGGAATCTAGATCAAAGCAGTTGTGACAGATGATTGCGCACCCTTTGTCATAATGCATCCAGTGATGAGAAACCCACTTCCTTTCTGCTCATTTGGTGCCGCTATCAAACGGCTCTTACTTAAAAGGCATTTTTCTTCAATGGTTAACAAGAATATACTATCCTGTAATATAAAGCTAATATTTTATATCTGTACACTGGATCCTTAAACAACAAATCTTGGTCTTCTTCTAGGTGAGATCTTTTCTTGAAATTTGTTTTCAAATTCAGTATTCTCTTTTCTTCCTATAATACATGTATTAGTCATTATAATCTTACAATTTGTTTTCTTTGAAACTCTGTATGTATTCCATGGAAATTTGCAAGTTGCATTTAGGAGCAGTTGCAAAATATTACCAAAACATCCAATATACTGATTTGCATTTTTGGCAGAAAAGACAGGATAAAAATATTACAAATGTCATGCTTTATTTACTCTTAATATGATACACCAGTATAACTATGCATAATAAACTACAACTTTAATTACAATTTTATATTTAGCATACAACCATCATTTTATTTGTACTTACTGAAATATTAATTTCAGTAAACAGAGTCCTTTGTACTGGCAAGAGAATGTAATGTGATAAATGAGTAAGCAATGATCATTTTAGTTTTCAGACGGACAAATAATATTACATGTCTATAGAAACATTGTATTGCAATCCTTTTTTAGTTGGTTGGAAAATGGAATAAAGTATTCATTTAGTAAACAAATCTATTTTAACATTATATAGAGACAATTCCTTAGCAAAGGACTAAAGCACACATCTTTTGATTACCATTTCTCCCTAGTTTAGACATTATTTTTCAATTCAATAGTATTAAATGCTTGGTGTGTGTCTATCTGTCTGTCCCTCCCTCCCTCCCTCCCTCCCTCCCTCCCTCCCTCGTTATGCTTCTGGTAATTTCATGGACATGCCATTCAGTTTTCTTTGCCTATAATTATGGAATTCCCAAGCAATCCTCAATCCAGGTAGTAACCAGGACTTTGTGGTGCTTAGCTTCTGAAATTGGTATGTGCTACTATCTGCTGATTATATATATTTTAAACTATGTCTGGGAAAGAACCTATTACACACTCCCTTTTATTTGTAGTTTTCCTTTGAGAACTTTAATGATGCATGTTGAAGAAAGGATGATGGATGGATTTGTGTTTTTGGTTTTTGTGTACAAATAAGTAATGTGATAGATTAAAATGTCTTTATTTAAATTCATAGTATATTTATGTATCATTAGATACTTGTATTTGACAGATTTAGATTTTATTTTTCATTCAGAAGTTCAAGGCAAGATACATTGCATTCTCTCTCTCAATTGTCCCTAAGCAAAAAAGGTAGGTTGCATTAAGAGATAGTGGCTAGCTAAAAGTCATAAAGGGAATTTCTGTCAGAGTTGGACTTAAACCTGGGTCTTCCCAATCTAAGTTCAGTATCCTTTCTAGTACACTATATTGTTTTTCTCATGGAACTCTAAGCATAGTTTTTCTTGGTTGCAGTATTATCAGGGTATGTAAATTGTTCATGCGTTTATTCACTC